GCAACCTCAGCAGAGGGCGGTGTGAGGCCAGGGTGGGTGTGTTTGTGTAACCCTAGACTTTACCACAGCCAAGGACGGAGGAAGTATGTTAAATACATTTTTAAGAAGACTAAAAAAAAAAGAGAAAAGACTCCTGCCTATAACCTAACTCACCAAACAAGCTTCTAGACATAGAAGAGGCAATGTTGCTAGAAAACATCTACCACAAATATCTCCCGTGTTTAACTACTGCTCCTGAATTCCTGCCTTCACAGTTTGGGTTTCCAGGAGTCTCCCACTACCTGGGCTGCAGCAGGTAACTAACTGGTACTTTGAAGTTATTACTGGCCATTGTCATTCCCGCCTGGTCCCAAAGGAACAGGAAGGATGTAGCTGGGAAGAATGAGCTGGGGGCAAAAGAAAAGTATGCATGTGGGGAACGGGGGTCCCACTGCAGAGTAGCAAACAACGAGGGCACTCCACTTCAGGGGATAAGGTGATGTAATAAGAAAGCATGGACCCTGTTTCCAGTCCCTGCTTAAACTGTCACTGCAGGGTAATCCTGGGAAGTTGCTTATCCCCTGTGAATCTTTTTTCTTCTTTTGTAAAATGATACCTACACTACAAACCGATGGGGGATTAAGTGAGACAACATACACAAAGCATGAACGAACTACTTGAATCACATCGTGGGTTTCCGTTTTCTTCCATGCTCTCAAAGGACCACTCAGGTGCAGTGGGAAGAGACCTGGGATGTAGGTCAGGAGACCCAGGCTTCTCTGTGCGGCATTGGAGCAGAAGGAACTCAAAGGCAAGGGACATGTGGCAACGAGAGGAGGAAAAATGCAGGATGGAAAAGAAGGAATGTGTAGCAGGTGTGTGACGGCCCTGCTTCCCGGGAGTAGCACACACAAGATGTTTTTCCTGTTTCCTGGCTACTCTTAAACTTGAGGGTTGGTTGTTGTTTTTCCTGTTTTTTTTGTGTGTGTGCTTTTTTTTGGCCTGGATACAAAACTGGCCCTCAGGAGTTTAGAAGCCCTTTTCCCCGAGGGAAATTCTACAGAACAGTGACTGAAGACCCTGTCCTTACCCCACTTACTGAGTTCAGGAACATACCTGGACCAAATGCACGTAAACCCATAGAGGCCGAGGGAGATGCCTGAATGTACTGTACTGAACTGTACCTGATAATAATAATACAGCATATTGTATAATACATTGTAGAACAATAAGTTTGATGATCTCAAGCAAATATTCAGATCAGCCTATGCACAGGCCTGCTCTGGTCTATATAAGACTGAACCTGAGCAGCTGGGCTTCCTGAAGGCTGTTATCCTCATACACTCAGACGCTATAAGTCTAACCCATGACTATGCAGGTTCTCAGAGTGTGGAAATGTGTCCTTCTATCTGTCCTGGAAAATGTGTATCCTGATAGCACTAACTTCCTTAAGGATCCTTAGAAAAGTGAACCCAGCTTGAAGCAATATCTGTGGTCTTTTGGTTAGTCCAAGGCCCTGCTGAAATTAAGTCCTGTATGACTTTGCTTCCCAGAAAACAACTGAATGGATGCTTTTTAAGGAAGAAAAAAAAGGAGAGAGAAAGAATATGGTCCCAAGAGGATAGGATGTGTTCATTATGCCCTTTAAATTGTCAGGATCAGCAAGCTGGTAGATTACAATATTCTAAAGTACACAGTCATCTTCATTTTTGGAAGCCTTTTAAAAATTAGGAAACTCACTACAGCAGGACTTCTGTACTCTGTTCCATGGTTTTATCCTCACTCAGGTGGGTAGCTGGAAAATTGAAAATGTCTAAGAGAGGTTTTTTAAATAAGTTTCTCATTTCTCAAAAGAGAAAAAGAGAGAGCAAGAGAGGAATCTAAGACGGGTAATAATATAATATCATTGGCTATAATTTTTGACAGAATAACCATAGCCAAAGACTGTCTTTCTTCATTAGCATACTGCAGAACCTTGTGTAGGTCCACTTTGCTCAATATTTTAATCAATTAGTTGTGCAAAGGTAAAAGAAAACAACTTTATGCTTATCAAAATTTCAAATGACCCAGCCTTGAGACAATAGCTAATGAACTTGATAACGTGCTTACATTTCACATGAATGCAAATCATGGTGTCAAGTAAGGTGTCACCTGACATCACAGAATGACAATTGTAAGGAAACCTAGGGTCTTGCTTTTAAAAATTAAAATTCAAAAGGATAAAAATTAAAATTCAAAAGGATTTCAAACCATGGAATATGAAAACTAGAAAATAATTTAGGTAAAACTACAGAATAATGGTTTTGTTAAAATGTTCTTGCTAAGAGACACAGGCTGGTTGAAGGGCTGCACCTAAAACAGGATGACTCGTATACTTGTACTCTTTCTGGATGGAGGCTCACCAATGTGAGCGACAGAGAAGGGATGTCTACATTTTGTTCCAAATTTGAATTAGATATCTATCTGAGGTTAATTTTTAAATATACTTTTCCCACCATCCCAATGTATTTTCAGTACTTGAGTGGCATGGCACCAATATGAGCAAGATGCCAGCGTCTGGTTAGCTGGCTGTTCTTTGGGTACACTGTAGAGTATGCCAACTCTCAAGTGGGAGTTTCCAAACATTTTATGGCAAAATGAAACTAAGAAACACACACAACACCAATACATTTTGCTCACTGGGCATTCTTATCATACAGATTTCAGAATAAAGCCATTAGTGTTGATGAATTTTCCTAATTATGTTTCAGACCCTGACACACCATTTTGAGAGTGGCTTCATGTTGTTGCTGCCCAGCTTGAGCTCTAAAAATTGTCCAACTGTTAAACCAAACACATCCTGGGGTGCCAAGGAAAATAATCTATTTTCCTATTTCCTGTGCCCCATCAGGGTACAAAACATAAAATAAGCCAAAATTTCTCCACAGTGGGCTTGCAGTCTTAAGGAGGCCATTATTTTCTATGCAGAAAGTCAAATATTTTTTCCAGAACCAATTTTCTTGCTGACCACATTGAGCATTGAGACATCAGAGAGAGCCTTCTTGGGAAAAATTGAATTGAAGAAGGAATTTGGCTTTGGAAAACAGGAAGTGGGTTTCTGTTGCTGTATCCAGCCAAGAGAGAGCAGAGGTCTAGACCACGCCGTCCAAGGTGTGTGAGTAATCTCTAGAGATAGTGACTAGTCCTGCTGATGCTTATCTAAACCAAAGCAAGGTTTACTCATTACTCCTCACTTAAGGACACAGCTAGGATAATACCAATGGACTTTTCTGCATTTTTCTGCCTTTTCAAGGAAGAGGAGATCAAGTTGGGAAAGACCCATTGAACATTTTTAAGAAACCTCTAGTCCAAGCATATTTCATCCATTAGGGTAATGTTTTCCTCAGGCTTGTCCAGGAATAAATCCCAACCTTCTCCCCGTAAGATCCCAAAGACACAGCTGATTTGTTTTCAGTTGGGGCAATGAAATGCTTAAATGGGAAACACATGTCCGTTTGGTGGGGAGAAGACATGCTAGGAAGTGTCTTGTTTGTGAGTGGGGACTCAGCAGTAATCTGACAGCCACAGAAAAGACTAAACAAG